AGGAACTCATTTGTCCCGTCCTGCCTTGGGGCTCCAGCCAACAAGCACCTGCACGGTTGGTACACTTATAGACAGCAGAGCATTTCTGACCTATTAGCCGTCATCAGCTAGTCATACCCAACTCCACGCGGGACGCCATCCGAGGCCCGAACCCGCGACCTTTAAGTTAGAAGCCCAGCGCTCTGACGGGCTGATGGCGGCTAATATGCCAGAAATTGCCATTCCACTCTCCCTTATCTTTGTCGGCAATGTTCAACTCACAGTTGAATTTTTGTATGACAGGCTGGAATGAGCAGTGCCCCAGTGAATGCAGAGTACAAGCTTCACTGATAGTGGGCCAGATGGGCCGACTATTTTAAGTAGCCACACTGTGTGTCCTTGGAAATGTGTGAAATGACGAGGGTTCCCAGGTGCAATGGATCATTGGGTATGAAAAACTTCATGAATAATAATGGCTCTTTCACAAAACAGATAGGATGTATTGAATTCAAATTTGCAATCCTCCATGGTGATGAGTTTGTTTCGATTAGTGAAGTTAAAGTAGCCCACGCTGACTATGTACATACCGCCAAACAGGTGTCATGGCCTGCTGGGCGCAAGCTCAGTTTGGGAGAGTATTCTGACATCTAATTTACTTCGACTGCTTACTATGTCTCACTCTTCGACAAAACGCAGTACAATCGGGAAATGGCGTTAATTTTTTTGCGCGGAACTTCCAAACAGACCTCGTACCGATGAGCTTGTTGAGTATCGTTCAGTTCGTGTGTAGCCGATTTTCCGCGAGTTTTCAGCTCTCCGACTTGATTCGCTTGACCAACGTTTAGGCCATTAATTACCTCACAAGTTTTTTTTACTCTGATTCGCTGATTCCCGAAACCTAGGGGTGTAATTTCCGCTACAAAACTTGCTGAGTTGGAATTGAATTGGACGCTTTTTACTGTCCCTTCGCCGACTAGGACGTCGGATTTTTGCGTCGTTTGCGCTGCTGTTCGCAAGAATGTTAATCCATACAGATTGGCGTCCTAATTTGCATTTCCCCACTTTTTTGGAAGTCTGGAATGAGAACGAACAAACAGAAAAAAACACCGTTCTTAGCATAAATAAAGAAAGCTAAAAAGCTCTTTTCTTCAAAATGGCACATGACAAAAGTGCAGTCAAGTTAAAGACAGGATGCATGAAAGGTACTACCAATAAAAATATCGAATCGTTCCGTACTACTTTACTAATCCAGGTGTATTTTGAATCATCTTTAAGTGGTTTTTTTCGAGACTTCTTCCTAAACCAAATTAAAGCGGCTTTTTGCCCTCTGGATCTGAGGCCACAGCAGTTAGCTGGACTGAGTTGTTCTTCATTTCAACGATGATTACTTCAAGGCAGAAAGTTCCTGTGTATCTTCTTTGTTTGTTCGTCGACTGATCACCTATTTTTAAAAATGTTTAAGCTGATGGAAGATGGTTTTGCCTTCTTCGTGTCCGGGTTGATCAATGTTCACTTATTCGGTGGTGTTTTTAAGGACTGCTCTCTTTTACTACCATTCTGCCCGACCCGGTAAGACCAACTGGTTTAAACTGTTCAAGGGTATCATGCGTTTGCACAGGCATGGTGTGAGCAACTGTAACTTTAATGATGTGATCGTATAGTTTGCGGTGGTAATTGTAATCACGTTAGGTGTAGTCCTTATTCATACAGTTGCAACGGATAACAGTCTAAAAATTTTAACGTACCAATCTACTCACTGGTTTAGTTGATTTACTGCAACTAATCGCAGCAAACATCTTACTATTTTAACCAGTTTTATCTTACATGACAGCCTGTTTCATTTTAATTTCTGTATGAGTACTGTTTTGCAATTTCTAACGACTACTGCCTAACAGTAACCACTTTATATTGATTTTAAGCCGTGCAAGATATTCAGGTCTTTTACGAGACATAAGTTTTGGGCTGCATTTCATGTCCTTGCTTCCTGATGCTGCTTATCCCACCAGCGAAGCCCTCAAAAACGGTATTATAATTTTCAATTTTGTTACACCGACTTTTTTTAGTCCAAAGACAAAAATGGTGTTGGCGTTCGCCGTCGAGCGCTGCGAAAACGAACGCCAGGACTAGGTGAAACCCCAGAGGACTCCGACTCAGGCTCCTGTGGGTCGAATGAGTTCTCCAATTCTCCCTCCTCCTCTGAAGATGAGGCTGAGTATGACGCTGGTTCCGGGATCTTGGCTTCCCACGTCGGGCCAACGAATTATCCTCCACCCTATGAGCTGTCAGCAGTTAAAGGCGGTAAAGCCTGTGATCGTTCTCAACCTCCCTGGAACCGACTCTCGCGCATTGAGGAAAAAAGTTGTATAAATGAAGGTGCTGAAGCCGTCGGAGAATCAGACCCCGACTCACCGGAAGAAACCGATGTGGTTTTGCACTTTGTGGAAAGGGGAGAATCTGTCTCCACACCGCATCTCCCTCCAGACAATCAAAAGCGCTTTGACTATCAATCCGCCAATCGTACGACTTCTGTGCCTCTGTCAACCAATCAGACACGTAGACCGACTGAAGACGCAAATCAGGCGCGTACGGGCGACCAAAGTGGCCACTCATTGGCTGAGAGTGACGAGCAGGCAACGACAACAGGAAGCGAGTCACAGGCTACAACAATCTCAGTTCACAAGTCCACTATTCCACAGTCCACACCTGGCGCGGTGGTTGCAAATTTTTCGCGATCTCCAACGGAAGTACTTGTCCCGTTAACCGCAACCAGGGTAGACCTAGGTGATCAACAGAGCACCGACAGTGATACTCAAGATGGACTAACAGAGCAAAGGGAAGATACTTTAAAAATGTCCATAATGCTCCCAAATGCCCAAATGAGGGATATTCCCGAGGGCAAGAAACAGCATCTACAGCATCGGCATTACGTCTCGGCGTTGGATGAGACCCTGCGGCCCGAAGTGGAACTTGTCTCGTCAAAAAGAGGTAGGCAATATTATAATGGTTTTCTATTCGTGATCTCGGAATCGTTTTAACTTTGCAAGTCGGTGTATGAGCGTAGACTGATTTTTGGCAACGTACACATGCCGAATCCTATGGCGTTCCCATATGACGCTTTTACGGAATTTCTTTTCGTTTATGGCAAATGACACTTTTTCGAAAGGTCTCATTTCCTGCAGTTATTTGTTAGCGCTCTATCAGACGCCCTCCATTAGGCTGAGGGTCTGTCTCGGTTTCTGCGTGTCCAAAGTAATTGCGACGCGTATCCATTAACTTCATTACCATTCAGGCCAGCCGCAGCGGCTACTTCAAATTTCCTGTCCTCCTAATTATCTGTACAATTTTCATTCAAATTTCAGTTATGATTATCGTTTCATCTTTGTTTCATGTTTCGTTGTTTGTTTACATAATTGCCTCTACTAGAACCTGATATATGCACTTACGCTATCTTGATCATAATAGGGATAAATGCGACATTGCTCTTTCAATGGACCCAGCAACCCTATTCGACAGACTTTCCCTGATATCTCCAACCGACAGGTCTGTATGTAAGCAGTCAGCTGAGTTTTTACAGGATGCTACCGTCTGCTAGACACTAGAGTACCGGGCGCCTCATAAGGGACGATCTGTCACACGTATAGTAGATTCTGTATCTCATTAACTGTCAGCCGAAATTCTAACTGTGTTTTCTACTCAAACAATTACCTAAATAGGGTTGCGATATTAATTAGCGTGCGGTATAATTCGGCTTTTGCCGGCTTTTGCACTATTTTTTTCTAACCGCCTGCAGAAAGTGTCCTCTGCAATAACTGGCTAAATAAGCAACATGCGTTTTTTTTTCAGTGTGATTATCAGTACGCTTTTTAAATTTGAATATGTTTCATAGAGAAAAATACAAAAAGATATTCTGTCTTGTACTGATTTGCTAGCAAACTAAGCCTTAGACAAATAATAAACTTAAGGAGAGGGTATCTTTCGGTCTTAAAATACTTCCTCAATTGCTGAATTATGTTGGATCCGACTTGCAGGGTTTCCAAACTACATTTTGTGCTCGTCCCATGCGAAGAGGAGCGCACATTTCACTAGTTTATGAGGAAACCGTTCCACAATGTCGTAGAAGTTCAAGCAAATGTTCAGACTTCAGGTATTTGCCGCTCTAGTCGTAGCGCTCGTTTATAAGTTGTCTCACAACATCAGTCGCTAGTTGCTGTGGGATAGAGGTGAAGACTGAAAAATCATGGAAGGATACCATGGATTCATCTGGCTCCAACTTCAGATATTTTATCCGTTCAAACTACTGTTTTGCAGAAGCTACGGTTGTTGTCGAGCCTACTGCCAGGAACTTGAGATGAGTAAACATCCATTTTGCCAAACTGTATGTAGGGGTGCCACGAAGGGAGACGATTGGCCTAAGTGGTATGTTTTCCTTGTGAACTTTCGGCAGATCATAAAATCGTGCCGAGGCTGTGTCGGTTGGTCTCATGGAAAACCGTTTGCTTTGAGTTTTGTCAGACTCTTGCTCATTTCGGTAAGCTAATATTTCATTTCACTGGCTGGACATGTCTTGTACGAAGTTTATTCGTTAAGCAGGCTCTGGGATTTCGTTTGAAAATCAGATTTGTTGAGCATTGGTGTGTAATAACCTTTGTCGGTCGGCAGAATGATTATTTCGTCATCGGCTTTTTATACTTTTTAATGCTCTCTGTTCTTCTCGGCCAAGAGTTTCACGCCTTTTGCGATGCATAAGCAGCGATGATGTTTTATAGCGGATTATGGCTTCCTTCAGAAATACTTCCTACAGTACTCATAAAAGTTTTCAATGGATGAGGTTTATGTTGTATACTTTAAAAGCAATAGTAGTTAGTTAACTGATACTGTCTGTTAGGAATATGCATTTCACGGTCTCAAAAAATCTCAAAACTGGAAACGTTTCAATGTGAAATATACCCCTTCTTCAAGCATAAAATGTGCAGAAGGCGTACTTTGCTACCAAACCAGCACAAGAATAAATATTTTTGTGAGTTGCGGAAATTCACATCAGAGAATTCTCAAGAGTAGTTTGGCGAGAGTACGTATGCTTTCGATAAATTCTCGTCGAACCAGTTCATTTAGATGGGAACGGGGTAAAAGTTAAAACGTGTTCGTCTTTTCATACAAGCGAGACGTGGGAATAGGGGGAGGTTCGTGTCTCCCTTTCCTTACCCCTCCC